CGAAACCCTAGAATGGCCCCCTTTTCAGATAAGGTCTTACCGTGACTTTCTACGTAGCCGTCATCGTTGTGGGCACACGCGTAGCACTTTTGGCAGAGAGGATCATACTGTTGTTATTGATTTGGACCATATCTTTCCTCCACGTGAGACTTCTCTAAAAAGGGCTCAGATTCCTATTGTGGATGAGTTATTTGCTTCAGCCTCTAGTCATTCTGAGCCTGTCATAGCGCTAAATTCTTAAGGTGGGGCTGCTCCTGCTTCCAGCGACCTTAATCGTTGTGTGAATTAATACTTTGGGGAAGCTTATGCTTATCCTTTTTCTGTTTCTTCTAAGTTTACGGGCGGGGTTTTCAGAGCAGTTAGCCCTCTGGAATTTTATGAAATACATATTAACTAAGCTTTGAGGCCTGCGCCGTGCGCTTCAGGGTTGCTGATGAGCCCATCCGCCCAGCCCAATTCGTCAAGGCTGACGAGTCTATTTTCCTTGACGATTCTCTTCTAGGAGGTACCCTTGAGTACAGGCTGACTTAGGGCATCGGGCTTCCTGCTGACCTTGGGGATGAATATGTCAGCGTTCCTGTGGGCGTTACCTCTTATGACTTGTAAAAGGTACTATTTTACTTATTACCTGACTTTTTTGCTTGATGATGTTTTTTACTGCTTTTTCATCTAAAGTCTTATTGCTTTTTATTCTTTTTATCTGGTGGCTGTCCAACTTACTCGCTCTGTTGGTGATCTGGCAAATTCTTTGTTGATCGTTGAAAAGGGTACCAATCCCAAAGCATGAGCTTAAATGAGAAGGTTGCTGACTTGGAGTGGGTTCATAATGAGAAGGCAGAGCTTGAGCGTGACTAGAAGGTGACAGATGATGAGCTGCGAGCTGCCCAGCTTCAATTACTTGAATATCTCCCTACACCTCAGAAACTTGCTGAGCGTGAAGATGAACTGAAGAGGGCTCAGGCCCAAGTGTAGGATTTGAAAGCATCTGTGACTCGTTTGGAGGGAGATCATGCTGCGGAGCTAGATACATCTCGTAAGATTGCTTTAGTGGAGTTTGTTTCCTCTCATACCTTTGCGAACCTTCTCACGGACAGGCACGATAGAGGCTTGAAGGTTGCGCGCAGAAGCGCTAAACATGTTTTTGCTATAGGCGTGCAGGAGCAGGAGAGGTTTGATCAATTTTGGAGTAAGGTTGATCAGCCTGGGAACCAAGATACCTATATGTACCCAGCTGACCATCCTCGCGTGGCTGCCTGCTGTATTCAAGATCATGTTGTTCTTAACAAGGTCCTTGCTGAGTCTCCTGATCTTGCTGCTGATGTTGGAGTGGAGGCCCTTCCTGCTAACCAATAAAGCTTTTGGCGGCCATCTCCCTGTTCCTCTAGTGGCTCATTTGATTATCCCTCTCCCCGCTCCATAGTAAGCTAGTGTTGTTAACGTTTGCTTTCTTCTTCCATTGGAGTGTATGGCCGCCATTGGTTATGTAGTTTTCTGAGGCCCTTGGGCTTTGTCTTCCTTGGCCATTTGCTAGAATTGTTTTCCACTTTCTTTTGCTAAGACAATACTTTTGTGTTTTTGAAATTTGCGTTTAAGTTTTTACTCAGTTCAAGGGGTGTCTAGCATAAACATTACCATTTGATTTTATGTACTTGCTTTAATTTTAAGCTTTTATCCTGCTTACACATTCCGTATTACGTTTTTTTATTCAACGTTTGCTGGGTCTAGTTTTCTGCTGTCAGGAGAAAAGGGCACTTTATTTCTTAGTTCTAATGTTCTCCCCTTTCTCTATGACAATATTGTCCACTTGGCTGTGTTGCTGGCTATCTTTGCTTATTAGCGTTTTTGGCCTTAGTTTGTTTAGGCAAATTGTTACTTTAAGCGTCCCCGTCTTAACATTTTCCTTCCAAGGTTGAGAACACGTTCAACGCAAAAACAGTTCTCCCTCTTGTTTGTACTTTCTAGCCCGTCCTCTGCCTCTTGGGCAGGGCTTTGGGTTTTTATGTCTTTATCTTAGTGAGGTTCAATTGTTATGCCACTATTTTTGGAAACAGGGTTTCTACCGTCACTTTATTGTAGCTAGGCTTTAAAGAGGCGTATATGTTGCTCTCTGTTTTACTTAGTTCATGTTGGGTTTGCTTTGTTATCGCATTCCTTCTTTTCCTTTTTATTTTAGCATAAATACATAATTATTTGCAAATAAACAATTAAATAATTCAATAAAATGTCATGTTTATGAAAAAGCCTCACGTAGAGGTTAATATTCCATTAATAATGTGAAACACCTCGCGTAGAGGTTAATGTTCCACTTTCAAAATTACAACTTAGTTGAATAGGGCTTAAACTTTTCTTCATTAGAGTTAAATATAAAACGCTAAAGCAAAGCATTAAATTACATGAAGAACCTTTTTAAGACATCAGCATTAGAACCGTTTCTCAGAACGTAGCCTTCTTGGTCAGAGTGTAGGTAAGCTCCTTCTCTTACCTGCTTATGCATTATCAAGGGTCCTTCCCAGTTCGCGCTCAGCTTTCCATGTAGCTTTTCTCTGCCTACATCAGTCTTCTCAGTACCAAGTCCCCTTCGCTGAGTTCTCTATGCCTCACCCTTCTTTTGTAGACCTTGGCTATTCTGCTCTTCTGAGCAGGTAACCTCAAGGCAGCTTTCAACCTGACCTCTGGCATGAGATCTAATTCATCTCTCATTATGTTTTCGTTTCTTTAACTGTCATAGTGTTTCACCCTAAAGCTTAGGAGTTGCACTTCGACGGGAACCACTGCCTCAGCCCCATATACCAAAGAAAAAGGACTTTTTTCCGTCTCATCCTTCTTTGTTGTTCTGTTAACCCACAACACCTCCAGGACTAGGCTAGCCCATAGGCTTTTGTGCTCCTCCAATTTCTTTTGAAGGGCATTGAGTATCTGTTTGTTAGCTGCCTCTACCTACCCGTTACTCTGCGGGTGACAAACAGAAGCGCTGGCATACTTTGTTCCCTATTCCTCAAGGTAATCTCTGATGGTGTCACAATTAAACTGGCAGCCGTGGCCAAACACTATGCACTGCTGGATTCCAAATCTTGAAATGAAAGTTTTCCATATGAATGTTCTGACCTGAGAGGCTTTAATGAACTTCATGGGCTCTACCACTATCCACTTTGTGAAGTAATCCAAAGCCACGACAAAAAATTTCCTACCCCTTGAGCTAGTGGTAAATGGCTCTAAGATGTCCATTCCCCACTGAAAAAACAGAATAAGGCTGAGAATCGTGTGAGTGAAAGGAATGGTGTCCTTCGAACAAGTGTATTATTCCAATAGAAGGTTCGGAATTAGTTAGGAAAGCTAATTATTCAATGAAGTCAAGTGATCCGAATGCCTAGCTGGAGGCCGCTTCCGATAAGTAATATTAATGAATAATTAATATTACGGCTTGCTCTTGACTGGCCCCTTTAGGTCACACCCAATCGTGTAAGTGGGCCAAGGCGACGAATTAATCTGGAGGATTAAATAAGTCGATAGAGATTTGACTAACTAAGACGTAGGATTCCGAGCTTAGAGCGTCGAAGCAGAGCATCGAGTCGATTAAACGAATCGAGAAGCCGAGAAAATAAGTCAAATGACAAGTCAATGTGCAAAAATCTAGCCTCGCGTTGACCTAGCCAAGCGAGGGCTAGGCGTGCAAGACTAGCAAGGCTGCTAACTATGCATTAGCCTCGACTGCAAGCCCAGCAGACACGCTTGTGTGCTGGCCGGGCAAGCTGGTAAAGCAGGCTAGCTAGCACCGCCAACCCGTAAGCACATAGCAAGTGCGCCAGGCCAGCACGACATTGAGTGCAGGAAGGCTGCTTGTTGGGTTTCGTGATGACCAACATCACGCGAAAAAGGAAACCTGCCCAAAATCCGCACATAAATTAAAGTAACTAAGCATGTATTAAAACCATAATCACATGATTAACAAAATGAGAGAGAAAGAATCATTACCCTTGAAGCGTGCTTCGCTCTCACTTAGAGTTCGAGCTTGAAAGCGTAGAGTCCAACAAATGCGTGAACCTCTGACGGCTAACACCTTACTCCCCGAACTGAGCCGGCCTTAACCCCGAAGCTTAGTCGAGGCTAGGCCAAAAATAACTTAGAGTATTAGAACAAAGCTTTTCTCTTCTTAGAGATCCCTTAAAGTTCACCAACTCCAGTGTTCTTTCACAATGCCAAATGATTGGTATTTATCGGGAAAGGAGCCTTTGAAACCCCTCTCCCATCAATGTGGGAAAGTTAGAAAAAATGAAAAATGGAATTTAATTTAATCCTAAATTAAATCAGATAGCCAAATTAATCACCAAACGGCAAGTGGTAAAAAGAGAGCAAGTGGTTATGTGAGGACCACAAGGGGGGACCATCCTCCCCTTGATCCCCACGCAAACTCTCACAATTAAACCAAGCAAATAGGCTGACGGCCTGCCTTGGCAGCCAAGGCAGCTTCGTCGGTGCCTTGGCTGAGCCTGCTAGCCAGCCCGCACACACGCACACACGCACAACTAGCAGGCCACGCTTGCAATGTGGGCCGCTGCTGCTACATTGCTTGTGCTAGTTTAGCTCTTCTACCTGTTGCGACTATGCGCGAGGCTCAGCGAGCATATGCTTGCTGCTCGCCTTGCGATGGTGCGGGACTGGCTGCTGGCTTGCCTAGCAAGTGCGACCAGCCATGCTGGTCTTGCGATACGCGCAACGCATGCTCGGCTATGCTAGGCATGCTGAGCTTGCGGCTGAGCCTTACCTTGCGGTAATGACCTTGGCTAGCCAAGCTAGCCATCTTGTCCTAGTAATGACTTGTCGTTTGGTCGATTTTTCCAACATCTTTGTTCGTAAATACTCTATTTACTCATTTAATCCTTCGGATTAATTCGTCATTTCAGTTTGGTTACACGATTGGGTGTGACTCGAAGGGTTCAGTCAAGATTAAGCTGTAATATTAAGGATATTTTGGATTTTAACACCTTACAAAAGGCTGAAAATGTTTTTTAACACCCCCCAAAAAAAAACTTTTATTTTAACACCTCCCAAAAATATAAAAGTTGGAAGTTAACACCAAAATCCATCTTCCGTTAACAGAACTGTTAGTGGGGCCCACCCCAACGGATATTTTTTTAAAAGATCTGTATATAAGAACCATTCTTCCACGATTCTTGCACGATATATAAGAACCATTCTTGCACGATTCTCCCCCAATGAACGAAATCGTTGTTCTTATTGAATAGCAGCAGCGCATTGCATTGTTGCACGATACTTGAAACAATTCTTTCACGATTCTTCCACGATTTTTGAGAAGAGGAACAGATTGAAGCTGCTGAAACAGGTGAGTGCGGTCAATTGTTCGGTTGTTTGGTAATTATGGTTTAAATTCTCTTCAATTATTATTTGCAATTGTTTCGTACTCAGATTAATGGTTGGATTATGTTATGTACGCATCTAAATGCCCAATTGCGAAATTAGGGTTCGTCAGAAATTGAATTTGGGGCTTTTCGTATTATGAAATTAAAAATGAATTTTGTTGCTGTCAATGTTAATTCGTCAGTGTACAAATCTGTAAATGTGACTGTCGATCTAAAATTGATGCAGATTATGTCGTTTGTTAGCTCTTCCCCTCCTGAGGCCAGAAAATGTAAGTGTGGTGTGCCAATGGCCAAGCTCACTAGCTGGACAAGGGAGAATCCAGGCAGGAAGTTCATATCATGTAAGTTTTATGACCCAATAACAGAAACAAGGGGTTGCAAAGCTTTCGAATGGGTTGATCAACCTGATGGAACAGATTGGCAAACAGGGGTTATCAACAACCTGTTGTTGGATAAGAAGCTGCTAAAGGGTGAAGTTAATGAATTGAAAAGGGAAGTTGATGAAATCAGTGGCCAAAGGAGGTGCCTACTTAATGAAGTTGATAATTTGAAGATGAGATGCAAGGCCTTGAACGCTGACAGGAAGAGAATGAACAGGGAGTGCAATGAAGGGAAGGTGTCTTCAATCAGCTGTTTTGGTTGGGTGGGCATGGCCATTTGTATAGGTTTGTCAATGGGTGTAATTTTCCTAATGGCTAGGGGTGTGTAATAGTAAGCTGTATTAAGTAGTTATAATTTCTTGTAATGACTTGAAGTGTTATAAATATGTCTTTTAATCAACCTATTTATGCCTTGTCTAAGTTCCTATTTATGCCTTGTCTTTTAATCAACCTATTTAAACATGTGAAACATTAAAACATGGGAAATATGTGAAACACTAAGATAGTTCAAGTACAGGTTGACAAAAGAACCTTACTTCAACATGTTTCAATGGCAATCAAAGCCATGCAACCATTACAATTCAATATCTAATTGTTCAAATTTGTTAAGGGAAGCCACTAAAAAACTAGCAAGTTACATAACCAGTCATGAGTACATAATAAAAGTTTGAAATTGTTCAACAGACATAATGTTTGATATCCAGCATGAGTACATCACTGAGTAAGGTTGTTGAGGGATTGCAGCCTGGCCCTTGTTACAACACCTGTGGCTGTTGTAGGCTGACTTGAGGAAGACCTTGTCTTTCTTTTTGGTTGGCTTGAGGCAGGCTGACTTGAGGAAGGCTGAGCTGAGGATGGCTGACTAGAGGATGGCTGAGCTGAGGAATGCTTAGCTGAGGAAGACTGTGGCTGTGGGCGCTTGCTGAATGGCAGACAACCTTCTTGCTCTTGAGGAAACTTTTTGTTTCCTATGCTGTTTGGTCCAGCCCCAATTGCACTCTATGACATGCATATAAAAATAAAAAGTCAATGGAAAAGACACATACATATATAAAACAAAGGGGGAGTTGGTGTAATGCTTGTGTTACCTTTTTAGCAGCCCTAATCTCTTTCTTCTTCCTCTCCTCCACCATCCAAGGAGTGTTCAGTGGGGGTCTGCCTGCTGACTTTATCAGCTCTGTAGCTGGTGCAGCAGGTACTTTGCAAGTCTTGGCATAATGCCTATATCCCCCACAGTTTCCCCTTCTGCCTATACCAACAGCTGTAATGCATAGGCACATCCATATCACCATTAACAAAACCATGAATTGCAGCTGTTCTAATCAAATGCACATCCAACTTAGATACTTGAACCTTCCTCTTCCAGTAACACCAACCACCACACCAACACAGCAGCTGCCTGTTTTTGGTTACTCTTTTAGGGACAAAAGCACCTCCCACTCTAAGGCAGATGTCAACCAAACTATCCTTGTCACCCATTATCTACCCACCAGTGAAAAACATATAAAACATATTAAAAGCCATGTAACTATACATGCACAATACGAATAAACAAATCCATCACAGCCACACAAACAAACACATAAAAAAATTGAAAATAAACATATACAAGCCAATGTAGGTGCTCAGTAACATAAATTAATCAACAAACCACACTTGCTAGTTTAATTAACAATAAACCACCTTAATTAATCTCTACTTTCAATTACGAAATCCAATTAACCTAAGTCGCATAGTCAGTTACAGAAATTGATTTATCAAGGCTTTCCTACTGTGGTCCCAAAATTTACCCTAATTACCCAATTATTGCAAGGTTTACAGCAATGAAGCACCAGTAATTGACGAAATTGCTATCAAAGGAGAGCAATTTTACCTTATTTTCTGTGAATTTCAAGCGGCTTTCGCACTTTTGTAGTTGAAGAAGATGATGAAGAAACCCTCCTGAGCTTATCTTCTCCAACGTTGACACCACCCTACACTCCACTTCTCAGCCAAGATCTCCTTTGGTTCAAAAGCGAAATCAATGAAGGTTCAGAAAGAATTCAATGCAGAAGGTTGCTGCGAATTCAATGAAGAAAGAAGTTTCGTGTTTTGCTGGGTGAAAATTGAAGTTCAAGCCAATTTGTGGGACCCACGTTAAATTTCCGTGACGGAAATCGTTAACTGGTGTTAACTTCCAACTTTTATATTTTTGGGAGGTGTTAAAATAAAAGTTTTTTTTTGGGGGGTGTTAAAAAACATTTTCAGCCTTTTGTAAGGTGTTAAAATCCAAAATATCCTAATATTAATTATGCATTAATATTACTGATCAAAAGTGGCCTCCAGCATGGCATTCAGATCGCTTGACCTCACTGAATAAATTGGTTTCTAATTAATTTCGAACCCTCTATCGGATTAATACGCTTGTTCGAATGACACCATTCCTTTCATTGCTGGCCCAGAAGCTTACGCACGCTGAAAGCCACCAAGGCCAGCTCGCCATAGCGCAAGAGCTAGCAGCTAGCTGGACTTGCGAGGTAGGCTCAACCAAGAGCTATGGATGCCAGCGAAGCATTCCTTGAGGCCCAAGGCTTGGAGTGTGCCTTGCACATGGGGTTGGTGGGTTTATGCATGCTCTCCAAGTCTCGGTTTGTGGTCCTTGCCTACTCCTTCTAATTAGGTTAGGAGCTCGTTTTTAACTAGATTAAAATCGTATTTTTGCTATTTTTGGCCTACGAATCCTGATTTTGACTCAAAAATAGTGAATTTTGGGTGGAATCGACGTTCTAAATCATTCTTTACTCTCAAAGTGGATATAATTGACTTGATTAATCATAACATGCAATGTTGGATTATGTGTTTGAATATACCATTAATCTTCTGCAATTTTACACCGTATTAAGCATGTTTATGAAGTCGTATTGGTGCTTAATTTGGTGAGCTCTTAATTTCACATAAACTTGAAATTTCACATTCTTTCAAATACATTGCTTGTAGTATGAAAGTTTATGGTGAAGATGATTTTTGAAGCCTTAAAATGTTAAAGATTAAATCTTTAATTGTTTAATTGGTTGGATTTTAACTTACTAAAATCCGTAATGAACAAATTTTTGGTTTTAATCATTTTTAAAGTTAATTAAAGTCTTAAATGTTCATACTTGTGCTTAAAATATTATTGTTCACCATATTGGAAGGTTACAATATTCAATTGTGCATAAGTATGTGTTGGATAAATTATTTCATTATATGATTGGTTAATTATTCAACTATTTTGTCAAATCTCATTGTTAATTTATGTGAGAATAGTCCTCAATTTTTTAGCATCAAGTTGAGCCAAAAATAATTTAAAGAATGGTTCTTGAATTAATTTCGGTTTGTGCACTAAAATTAAATTTAATTAAGTTAGACTTGTTTTATTTTCAATATTGCTCAATATTAGTTCTAAAATCAATTTAAAATTAATTTTATGTCACACAAAAATTCGAAATAAAATCCAGAAGCACAACAAGTGCAAAATCGAAGCCGACGCTTTGAGCACCTAGGCTTAGCTAGCAGGGCTGCTTGCGGTAACTCACATGTTGCTGCCGAGCTAAGGCATGTGCGAGTGTGCGTGTGGCTGTGAGCGTGAGTGTGTGCGAGCGAGCAGCAACTTGGTGCGAGAAGGCGTGCGAGATAGCACCATAGCGTAGCAGCAGCTAGGCGAGTGCCATGGGCGTGCAGGCTGGCAGGTAGCACCTAGTAGCAGCTCGGCACGCAAGGTCGGGACTGCTAGGTAGCGCCCAGCGCTTGCGTGCGTATGAGTGCTGGGGGTTGCTAGGCTTGATCAGCCCGTGACATATTTTTCTCATTTTATTTGTGGTTTTGTGTTTTAAATTAAACGAGGCTAGGCCTCGGTTTTTCCCAGCACATGAAAAATTATTTGGAAATATTTTGGATTAACTGGTTTAATTAATTTTTATTGGATTAATTTTAATTATGTTAGATGTGGAATTTAGTGGGAGCTTCATTAATCATTTTGAGCTATTATTATTGCGTTGATTCACATAATCGGATAATTACTTTGACTAGTTTTAGTAGGCACGTTAATCGGATTAACCACCTAAGTAAGTAACTAGTTTTGCACTCGTTTTTAATTGTTGCTTGAATTCTTTGTAAAATGCATGGGCTATTCACTTTAGTGAATGGATGAATGGAATAGATATTCTAATGCATGTTTTACAAAATGGCAACTAGGGGGGCCCGACTAGGATAGTAAATACGAATTGCGTTCCGTTTTTAATTTTGTAAATCTAAATACGGACTACGTGCCGTTAAGTATTTTTGTACGTAAATTATTTAGATTAGTCCTAGATTTTCTAGTAGCTGCATAATTGAAGGTTATGTCTCAAATACGACATTACTAAGTAGATGAAGCCAAGTTGATGCAATGAAGGCCCTTGAAGATTTGAAGATTCAAGTTTCAACGGGTCATGCTAGTTGCCAAATGCATCTATTTATGCCTTAAATATTTTGCTTGTATATAATTGTGATGTTAGATGCATGTTTAGGATTTTGAATGTTAATTAATTAATTTATTTCACTTAAATCAACCAACATAGAAACCCTAAGTCCCAAAGAATATTGAGTATTGCCATTCCAAAATGACACTTGCGGAATTAATGAGAATAGTAATGGGCTATTCCAAAGCAATGCATTACTACTTTTTTAAGGAAGTAAAGTATGTTGGTGGGGTTGCTAAAGCAAGGCATCATATACACATTAGTTTTGGTTAAACTCAACGATATCAGTAAGGAGTCCCTAGATGTCGTGGCAAAGGAGATAATCGTCAAGGAAGCATTGGATGCGACGATTTATCGAACCAAGAATAGCTTAGAGCTATTAGTAATTAAACTGGTTACTTTAAAATATTAAGTGTTAAGACAAGCCAAAGCATGCTTAATCACTTATTGTTTTTTGGGATCTTGAAATCGTTTTATTTAATCATGTGGGACAAATTTTAGATTGAATAAAGCGATAATAAGTTGAGTAAAATCACTAGTTTTGCATGTATTTCAAAGCTTATTATTATGTTATCATCTTGATAAATGGTTATACTTTGCACTTGTATTTTTAGAATTCTAAATCAAATTATATTGTTTCAATGATTGGTAAAAGAAATGTTTGAGAATTGTTCTTAAAGAAAGGAAAATACATTTCTGAAATACAGCTTCTCATAAATGACTTTTATGGCTAAGTACGAAAGGACGGTTGGATATCTTGTATTCAAAATACTAGGTAGTTTTGATAAACATGAAGTATTGAGTTGAAAACTCAAATTGTCAATAGTTGACAACCAACATATCTTTTCGCTTTATACACTATTGAGTAGAACTCATTGATGTAGTAATTCAAATATGAATTAAAGGAAAAGATGGAGCTTTGTTTTACGGCACATTAGATGCTTAATTATGCCTAATAAAGTATAAAAGTCAATACACTTAAAGAAAAGTTCTTAAAGCTATGAGATGATGTATGATAAGAAATATGGGAAACAAGGAACATAGAAGAGGAATACGAGATTCCAATTCTACCTATGAGTTTATGTTATCGTAGTTAACTTAGTAACTCATTATCTTCACAAGTATCAGATACTGCTTGAGTGTTCCATTTTAAAGTGACCTCAAAACATTAAAGTTAAGCTAAGTTATTGACTTACAAGCTTGGAATGAAGCAAGTGGTGCTATATTAGTTGTGAGGTCATTAGCTTTGTTTAAAAACCTTTTAAAGCTAAGGCTGCAAGAAATAATGGTTATTGTGTTCCATAATCAGCAAACAATATGTTTACACACGGAAAAACTCACATTCAAAGTAAAAGAACAATAGTTGTTGGTTTTATTTGAATGACATGGTTTTCTAAGCCATGAGTCAAGGATGCTTGATTAAAAACAAACATTTCCCAAACGTAAACTCACAAGGTACAAGTCATTGACATGCTTTGTGTTCTATTTATCAATAGCAATGTCACATCAACAAGAACAAACTCAAGGCTCTATTATATAAACTCTTGAAAATAGATCAATTTGGAATCTTTATAAGGCTAGGAAGTCTTACTTGTTGAAGCCAACAAAGAAAGGAGCTATTGTGTTTGGTATAGACAATTGACTCCGAAATCTAAAGAGAATTCCATTACTTCAACGTTTTCACAAGAATTTGAAAGAATATGGCTATATTCATCAAATGTGAACAAACTGGATCTTAAATAGCTCAAAAGTTCAGTGAAGTATGGAATCGACTTGGCAAGATATCAAAACGTCTAAATTAGATCGAGCGATGTTTGCTTGAGCCTAGATTGATCATCTCAAGGTTATGAAATTTGAATTTCATAATTAGCCCCACAAAGAATATAGTATATCTTCACTGAGACCTCGAAGCCATTTGGAAATGACTCGAAAGATGATGAATCACATCCCTTCCTATAACGTTCTTATGCACAAATGACTAATGTTACACTAAACAAAATTTTTGAAGCTAAGAAAAGACAACATATTCAGTTATGAATCGAAATAGTTTCTAGTGTCTTTTCAAGTATATGTGTAGGGCTCTTAGCCTCAGTGAGAGCTCATTGGCTCAGTGGGAGCTAAGTGGCTCAATAAGGGCTAAGGTAGCTCAAGTGGGAACTAATTGTTTGTTTTACAAATGAACTTTTACCAAGAGACAATATATAAGTCTCTTTGTAAGCATTCAAGTGAGACAAGGGGCATTACTTAGCTTCCATAACCTGAATGAGAACATAGTATTTAACACATTTTTAAAACGACAAGTTGGAGGAAAATGAACCGATGACCATCGAGACGAGCAACAAACTAGAACTGAGAATCTCGGAAGACTTTAGAAGGGCTTCATGAGAATGATTAGTCAAGAACACTCAAAGGACTTTTACAAAGTGCCTTAAGAGATTTAAAGTGCCTTAAGAGAATTCAATATTTCCAAAACCTTACAAATGTTGTAGTATGATCAAAATAATTAAAAGGCCTTAGAAGCACCTTGAGAATCAGTGTTTTATGTAATTACCCCATATAGGTATAGAATTAACCAAAAGGCTTGGATTGAATTCTGTAAAGTTTCTATTTAGTTAGAAATGAACCTAAGACTTACAAGTATACTATTTACTATTGGGAAGTAAGGATATAGTGTCTTGTAAGATAGCTATGACAAATCCTAATTCCAGAAAAGGTTAGAGGCCTTAAAATCTAAAACAGACACCATGTTTGAAAATCTTGTT